GAGCATACCCCGCCCACCCCCCGGCAAAATTTAAGGAAAAAAAAAAATTCGAAGATCCTCTGTACCCAGCCAAGCTACAAGTTGCACCTGGCTGTTGCTCTCCAAAGACCGGTCCAGAACGTGCATGCCACGACAGCTAGACGACGCATCTGCTCTACTTCTGCAGGTTAGAACCCAAATGCCGCGGTTCTCCTTTCAACAAGCGAGGCTGCATAAACCGTCCACACTGGAGAAGTGGCAGAGCAGACGCCGGGGCCTCATTGCAGGCCCCTTGTCCCCATCGGAGCTGCCTGGTGCTTTCAGCCCCATCTTGACCCCAGGAATGGCTCTGGCCACCTGCATAACCATTGCTGCACATGGTCAGAGCGACGTGTTCCTACGGAAACTTGCTCCCAACCAACCCCTGACAGCGGGGCTGTGCTGCTTCCCAACCAAGCCACAGAAGGGGCAGGCCTCCTCGAGCCCTCGCTGCCACCCTGGGCCTGCTTCCTACCTGTACCCTGCACCTCATCATGTGGAAGGACGTCGGCCTCTTCGCTTGGAAGAATGGCTAGCCTGGAGGTTCGGTGCCATTTAACTGGCCAGCAGGACGAAGTCTGAGCAGTGTCTGCTGGCTGTGAAGCACTCTGCCACCAGCAGCTTAATGAGCATCACCCAGAACCCCTGACTGTCACCTGAACCCAGGCGTCGTCTTCAGGCACCGGGGTGCTATGACGTACAGGGCGGAGGACTGCCCGGGGAAGGTGAAGTGTTTCTGTGTAAGATATGCATCCGACACATCCACATACATGTGTGCTTCTATTTGAATATACTCTCACAGATGTACTCTGCAAATACAAGATGGTATAGACTATGCTGGACGCCCACACAGGCCGTGTAAATGCCGAGTGTTCCCTGGCTTTATTAATAGGTGCACCTGGGGCAACAGTCTCAAGGGAGACTAAATCTTTTTAAATGGGATCTTTTTCGTGGAGACACCCCTTGGTATAAGGCGACCCCTGTGTTTTAAAGCGGGCAGATCACATCACTGGGATGCATTCTAGCCATCGACGCTGAACTTATCAAGGGCTTAGAATGTGCGTGTACAGGAGAGAGGCAGAGCGGTCAGGTCAAGGCACCGGAGGAGTGAGCAGGCGGACCCGGAATGCAGGGCGTGGTGCAGCCTGAGAAGCACGCTCCTTCCACACAGTCAGGCTGGAACAGGAGTCTCTGAGGGAGGACTGCGGCGGTGGCCACCACGTGTGTGCTGCCGGGGAGGAGGCTGGCGTCAACAACCAGCTGCAAAGGACATTTTTGAAACAAAGAGGAGGAGGACTGCAGGGGTGCGGAGGGCGAGGACAGTGTAGGACGGGGGAGGAATTGCAGAGGGGATGTGTCTGAGCTGCTTAGACCAGGGCCCGCGCACTGCACCTGCGAGGTGCCCACTGACCACGACACTTCTCCGCCCACGCTTTACGGTCGCTGGGGCCCAGGGCAGGGCTCCCCCCCGCCCGAGCGCCTGGCCATTCTGGGGCTTAATACCCCGATGGGGAGAGGAGCTCTGGACTTCACCCGCTGGAGTCCGAGCCTGGGACCGTACACACCCTTGTCCTGAGGGAGAAAGCCTCGAAAACAGGAGCTGGAGTTTGAGCCGGGAACATTCGGGCTGGGACGGCACCTTGTTTGTGGGACAAAGTTCTCATGCACTTTATGACTCTGTGGAAAACATTTTAGAACACAGATGTCTCCCGAAGAGCCCTGACCTTCGAGCGTCTTTCCAGATGGCAAACAGCTTAAAGATGTGCTCCTCGCTCTGCCTGGTTTCTGTGTAAGGACACTAATTATCTCGTTAGCAAGTTTCCTTTCAGGATTATGATTAGCTGGTCCTTTTTGTTTTTTCTTTGAATTCTGGGAAATTAACATATGTGTATTTCATCCCTGGCTGATGGAAACCTGCCTTTTCCAAAGCAGAACTGCCCTTCCCCACTAACCATTATTTCCAACCAAGTCACGCTCTCCCTCCCAGCAGGAAGACACCCGGTGGAATCGTGTTTAAACTCAGAGCGGTTTCAGTCCCTCCTGCTCTGAGCACGTGGCCACCCTCCCTGGACAGAGACAAGCAGCGGTGGTGACACCCTGGATGGCCGCGTGGAGGGAGGTGTCGCGGCTCCGTGGAGACCTCACAGCTGATCTTGCCAGGGGAAATTTCATGATCTGTCTTCAAGACAGGAAGGCTGGATTTAAGGCGCCTTAAATCCAGCCCAAGCCAAAGGAGGATATACAAGATTTCAAACACTCGCGTCAAATCCGAAGAAAATACTTAATAAATGATCTGCGGTTTTGGACTCGAGGTGAAGAGGGCGTGAGGGGTATGAGGGGAAGTTAGCCCGGCATTCTGTCATGACAGACAGACAGTAACGGCTCGGTGTTCTCTCTTGGGGTCCAGCTTGCCCTGACATGTGCAGGTGACGGGCCAAAGAGAACGCTCCCCTTCGACCTCCCAGCCCTCCTAAGTGACCAGTGGCGCTGGGCAGCTGCCACTCCCAGACCTCTGTGCATGGCTGCAAGCTGTTACGATGGCTAATGATCAGCTCCTCGGGGGGAATGGGGACCTCCGCACAGCCACGAGACCTCTGAGGGCACCGGGAGGGGGAAGGAGGCAATGTCACCTGACCAAGGTGGGAGGTGGGGTGTCCCCTCAGGCAGCGAGGAGCCCGACAGTTCCCCTGGCCTCCCCTCACGTGGGGCAGGCAGGCCGTAAACACCTGCTCCGCTCACGTACTGACCAGTGCTGCATGACGCACCTCGGAGCAGACCGGGACACTCCCCGGCATCAGGGGACTTGGCTGACAGCCTGGGAGGACTCCCTTGTGTAGAGGGACGTTGCCGGCCCTGCCGGGGGCGGAGTGACGCCATTCGCTGTACAATGAGCTGCGCGCTCTAGGACGCGCTAACACCCTAGCCACCAGCTACATACGCTTACGTTTACCCGTGTGGACGTTAAAGGAACGTCAGAATTCAGCCCCTCCGTCACTCAAGCCGCACTGGAGTACTCAGCAGCCAGAGCTGGAGTACTCAGCAGCCAGAGCTGGAGTACTCAGCAGCAGGTGGTCCTGCTCTGGCAGCTCAGACAGGGGGCATTTCCGCCACCACAGGAAGGCATCTTCCCCTTTTTCTTTCATTGCCAGAGGACGTGTGCTCTCTGCAGAGCTGGAGAGTTGGAGAGAGAGAGAGAGAGAGAGAGGACCCCTCAATGGAGTGTGGGCATACCACAATCCCTTCTCCTCCATTTCTCCATCCTGTCAGGATTTGGGCACGCACAACACTTATGCCTGCCATCGCTTTTCTCTTCTCCTCTCTTCTTTCTTTCTTTCTTTCTTTCTTTCTTTCTTGCTTTCTTTCTTTCTTTCTTTCTTTCTTTCTTGCTTTCTTTCTTTCTTTCTTTCTTTCTTTCTTGCTTTCTTTCTTTCTTTCTTTCTTTCTTTCTTGCTTTCTTTCTTTCTTTCTTTCTTTCTTTCTTTCCTTCCTTCCTTCCTTCCTTCCTTCCTTCCCTCCCTCCCTCTCTCTCTCTCTCTTTCAAGGCACTGGGGCCAGAATTCCAGCCCTGGTTGACCATGTGGGATCCGGCTCTCCTAACCACTAGACTATAGGGCCAGTCCTGCAGATGTATTCTGGGTGAGTCACCTCTCTTACGCCATTCGTCCATTCAACAGTCAGACCACGAACTGTAACATGCCTGCTGTCACAGCCGTAGCATGTTAGAATTAGGCATCAACATTTAGTTCATTAACAAGGAAGTTCTGGCATCCCAAATGAAGACCTGCCTGTGCTGCATCGTGTTCCGAGGCTTTGGATAATTTAAAGCGCGGATGTTCAGAATTAAAAACGATGTCTCTGGTCTCAGAACGCTTGCTGGCATTTTGAGGACTGCAAATAATGTAGAACCCAAACTCCATTCCTGACACTGCTAATTCTTGGGAGAGGGAGAGAGAGAGAGAGACAGAGAGAGAGGGAGAGAGAGAGAGAGAGAGAGAGAGAGAGAGAGAGAGAGAGAGAGAGAGAGAGAGAGAGAGAGAGAGAGAGAGAGAGAGAGAGAGAGAGAGAGAGAGAGAGAGAGAGAGAGAGAGAGAGAGAGAGAGAGAGAGAGAGAGAGAGAGAGAGAGAGAGAGAGAGAGAGAGAGAGAGAGAGAGAGAGAGAGAGAGAGAGAGAGAGGGAGAGAGAGAGAGGGAGACAGAGAGAGAGAGAGAACTGCTCGACAAGACACGGCACTGTGGATGCCCCCGCCAGCTCTGAGGGGAGGACGACGCTGCTGTGACAGGAACCCTGCCAACTGGCTGTCTCTGGGGTCTGCACATGCTGACACGTGGCCCCAGTCCCTGAGCGCCTCCCAGCGTTGACACACCTGGTGAGCCAGCTCGCCTGCACGCTAACCGTAACCCTTGGTTGGCTCGCCACGTTTCCTCACTGTGCACACTTCCCTACGCCTCAGAGAGCTGACATCGACAGTGCGACCCATGCAGCCCATTCCTGGGGAGGGGCGGGCGCCCCAAGACCCAGGAACAGCGTGTGTCTCCGCGGAGCTCACAGGAACCTGGCAGTTCAATTTATTTCTCTGCTGTTAATTTCAAGGTGCTGCTACTGCTACTTCAAACTGTAATAGTGTCTACGAGCAATTTGCACGTTTGGAGTGGCATGATCCCAGGGGGTAATTAACAAGCCCAGGGATAATCCTTTCAGAAGCCTTTACAAACAACAGAGACCGAGGCCGAGGCTGGCAGGAGGAAAGAGGCTCACTCCCCATTCCCTGGCATTTCAGAAGCTATCTGAACTCCGAGATAGGGTCAGAGAGCACGGGTCCTGGGCTTTCTGGAGAGTTCCTCAGCACGTGCTGAGCAGAAGCGAAAGGCGTGGGTCTGCAGGCTGGAGGGCTTCCTGACCGGGGAGGCCCTGAGGAGAGGCTCAGACTGCCTGAGTTAGAAGGTAGGAGCCCGAGAGCACCCAGGGGCGGTGGATTCCCTACCGTTCACCATTCCAAGGTAGAAGACCGCGTTCACCAGCATGCCTCCTTTCCGGAAGTGGTCACTCATGTGCTCCAACCAGTTGGCATCCAGACCGCTCACCGTCTGGCCGTTCTTGGAGATCCGGAGGGGGATGGTGACGGGGTAGTATTGCCGGTATTTCTGATGGCTCTTCGGTTTGTTGAAAAGAGCCAAGATCTCCATTTCTATAGAGATGTGGAAAGGGGGCAGAAAGAGAAGTGGTCACCCGGTGATAAAAATACGCCTCACTGGGTTGAGAGGGTCTCTCAGGGGCCTGAAGAAACGGTATCAAGGGTAACATCTCTGCAGCCGCACTGTCAGAGACCCACAGAACTCAGTTACAAGGAGCAAGTTGAGGCTGCTTTAAAGTGTCGTGGACCTTAAATGCTGGACGTCAGATTAAAGACTTACTCTTCAGACTGAAGACTAAAGAGCTGCCATCTGAGATAAATTTGTACAATTAGGCACTTGAGAGAAGAATACAGCAGACATTTCTGGAAATGCATACAAGGGTACGTTTGGGAAGGGAGCTGGTCTTAGAAAAAAAAGAAAAGCAAGCACATAAAAACAAAACTACTGCTCCAATTCCAGGAACCTCGTACACCCCTGAACTCGCTATTTATAAACTGCAGCGGCGTTTCCTGGGGCCGAACCCATAACACTTAATCAAGCACATCAGAAAGACATCGCTGATATGCAAAGGCAAGTATGTTCCCGCAAGTGAAGTTTCCTGCCTGGAGTGACAGGGCAGCTCAGACAGGCAGGCAGGCACTGGGTGAGATGCTGAGTTTTCCGTTCCTCCATTTAGGGCTCAGTTCTCCCAAATCCATAGCTGGTCTGATTCACGCCTGCCCTACGTGCTGCCCGGCAGGAGCTCGCGGGGGCGGCCTTGGGCGCAAGTACCTGGAATTCCCATCCAGTCTGAAGGTCTCTCTTTGTTTTACTCACTCAGTTGAGCAATCAGAGTTGACTCGGCCTAAAAGCGTTGCTTGTGCATACTCAGGAATATGTCTGGCTTCCAAATATATCTTTCTGAGCCCTGAGGAAACCCCCACCCTTTCCCAGACATATTTTGTTGGTCATCAGCAAGTCTGCCATGGCCAGGAGGGCAAAGCCGGCCCGTGGTCCCTGACCATGGCCAGGACAAGGTCCACCCGTGGTCCCTGCCCATGGCCAGGAGGACAAGGCCCACCCATGGTCCCTGCAGGAGATCTAGACCTACATTCTGCGACGCTGTTTGCCAAATTTCATGATTTTTGTGGTATCCAAGTGCTAGCTGAATACTAGTGTTTAGAAAGTGAACTCACTTTCCTTATTTAAATAAACGCATTTAAAGAAGACTTGGCCTTATGACCGTGCAGACTAGCCAGCCTCGGCATACGGGGCTCACGATGAGCCACACTAACACCACACGTGTTCATCCAGGGGACATCTGGAACGGCCTTCCTCAGGTTCCTTTGTTCATTTCCTTCAGCCCCATCTGAGCAAGCCTCGTGCCAGTCTCCAGGGACCGGGCTGGGCCGTGAGCCCTGTCCTCGGTGAGGGGTACATGAACAGGGGGACCATCTCGAGCCACCCGACAACAGAACAACCAGGGAAGGGAGGTGCCCGTCTGCAGAAGTGGCCGCCTGGGTTAAACACCCACCCTAGCCTGTCCGTCATCCTGGCCCTGAAGTACCTTCCTCAGCCCACCTGCCTCACGGACGATGCCGTCTCCAGCCAGAAAACGCTTTCATACAGGAAACTGGCTCCGGGTGTAAAGTTGGAGATCACTAGACCAGTCCATGGTTTTGAGACCCGAGCTCGAGCAACGAAGTGACCCAGAGAGACGGCTGTCATGGAAGAATCGAGCCGCGGGTGGGTGTGAGCAGGGGAGGGCGCGACTGGACGGTCAGGTGTCTCCAGCCCTGAGCACCAGGGATCTAAACAGAAGCCACAGCTACCCAGGACACGAGGGTAAGCGACACTCTTGCGAGTCCTTGCCTTCGTCTGGATGCCTTCGAAAGCAGCCGTGTGCAGTTGAGGAGGGGTCCCAGGAAACTGCGGGAGGCAGCAGGCATGGGAAGTGGGGCGATGAGGCCAGGAAGGGGGCGCTAGTGAGCCAGTCACCCGGGACCCACTAGGGCTCAGTTCCACCGGGACCCTAAGACACTACGCAGAACACACTCAGGGTGACCCAGGGCAGACAAGGAGCTGGCCAGTGTGCCTCTATGCCAAAGATCACCCCTGGAACATCAACTCCCTGGGCATCTGGCTGCCCAGGGCGTCCCTAATCTGAGAGCTCCCACAGGCAGGGGCCAGAAGACTCTGCTTGGCCAGAACTACCCACGGCTGACCTCCAGGCGGCCAGGGCCTGCGTGCTGCAGTCTGCCAGAGTCAAGCATGAATGCAAAAGAATCCGAAAGAAACCACAGCTTCCGCACAGGAGAGTGGGTGGGGATCTGGACGTAACCGAGTCCAAAACACCTGACGGTGGAGAGACCCCACCCACGCCCACTCAGGACAAGGACAAACACGACTCCTCAGATGCGTAAGGGACAGCGAAAGGGGAAGACGGGATGGAGAAGTGAGGGCGCTGGGGCGGGCAGGGGCGGCGGAGACCATCGGACAAGGGCGACCGTGTGACGGCCTGCCAGCTTTCCCGTCTCCATCCTCCCGGGAGGCCTGAAGCCAGAGACAGAAATACGTTTTTCAGGAAGGAAGAGGAGAGGCGGCTGGGCTGGAGAGCCTCAG